ACGTCAGCCTTCCTGCTCCTCTGATGCTGCTTGGCCTGCTGTGTTCATCCAGCCCTACACCTTGTTATCGCAGATTCTCCAGCATCTGCAGTTCCTACTATCTCTGTGATAATAAGTAGAATTTGATTTGCATTTATCGAAAGACTGTGCAATTTCTGTTAACTATACAGCACAGCATTTAGATTAGCTCTTTATTCCAATTTGCAACTGTAGGTCACAGCAATATACTGGGTAATAGTTGCTTTTATACAGGTGATATTTTGTGTTGGATTTCTTGGATATTTACTTCCCACCTCCTGATGTTTGTCCATCATCTTAACCATAATGACAGTTTGTAAACCCGTGAAATGGCAGGATTTAAGAGTCTGCTGCTAGCTAGGGGAATCGGATGTGATTGCTGAGAGCTAGCTGATTTGGCAGTATTTTCTTTGGAGTTGAATTAAAAGGTTAAAGTTATTGACAGCTCACTTGTGTCTACCATCTCACTCTCATCTTTATTTAGCGGTCTGAGAAGTTCGGAGAAATTTGGTGCTGTCTTTGCAATCAGCTTATTTCCTCAAGCAGCATGCTGTCTGGGTGGGGATGTCACCATTGTACACCAGTTTCTGAGTTGAACAATACAAAACAAGTACACATTCCTACCAGATTTCTTGACAGTTCAGTTGGAAGTCCTGTTTGAATATTGCTTCCAATCTGATTGATTGATTGATTTTCCTGTGCTGCAGTGCTCTCTCGATGCCAAGCTTTAAAATCTACTTTCTCATCAAAGTTCTTTGACAACTTGTATATAAGCATCTCTGTTATAGAAAGAGTCTAAAAGGTGCCTAACAGAAAGAAAGGATGATACAAAATAACGTTCTCACTAAAGGCACCAGAGAGCATTCCTCATGCTCCGCGGTATTCTAATGCATAAAAACACTGACCTGTTAACAATATACTGAGTAGCCCAGAAGATCCCTCGATAATTGATGGTTAGATGCCACATCTTCCTTGAGTTAGCTGACCCCCGCTAAAGCAGCTTTGAGAAGCACAACTAACTGAGATCCTTGAACAAAAATCGTCCAGGGTTCCCATTCCAAATTGCTAACCAGTTATCCACATTGCAAAGTCATTTGAAAACCGCATTGAACTTGCTGTAAACCTTCTGTGGCTGAATAGCTAGCTGACATTCACTGTCTAGACTCTGATGTATGGAGTATTAGAGAAATGGGTGTCTATCTGGATGTAGGTCAGCAGGAATTCCTACCTGCAGGAAAAGAAAACATTGAGTAAACATTCTTCTCTTTCCATGATTTGGAAAATGTTGACCTAGCTGTTTATGTTTAAATGCTGTAAATGTAACAGTTGTTTGGTCATTTATTTTATACGTATAAAGAATAGCTTCCTTAAGTTGCAATAAAAAAGTATTTTTTTTATTCTGAAGGAGTAAGGACATATGTTGACCCTTTCACTTATGAGGATCCTAATCAAGCTGTTCGCGAATTTGCCAAAGAAATTGATGCATCTTGTATAAAGATTGAAAGGGTGATAGGTGTAGGTAAGTTATTCATATATGCTATTTGTAAATTGGTCTAGAAAACAGATTTATGATCAGTGTTCTGGTATTAAACGTTTTTTTAAAAGGTTCTGTTGTGAAGTCTGTGCTCATTAAATTGAGGCTGTCTATATTGGGAAGTGGAATTATATCAATTTGGCACGACGCACGGGCTCTGGAACTCCAGCTTAGTCAGATGGAGCTCAGAATTCTGTGCCATTTGGCGAACAGTCACCCTGCTGTGGTTTTCTCGGTGCTGAAGCAGCAAGTTGCCTTTTCAGGAGTGGTGGTGGGGTGTGGGGGGTGGTGGGAGGCGTGGGTGGCTGGTTGCAGGGGTGTTGCCTCAAGATGGAGGCTTCACCAGCTGGTCTACCAGTCTGGATCCCCTTCACAGGGCAGTATGTGGCTGCAACCAAAACCAAGCAAGCAGATAAGCCTTCAGGATTGCCTGGAGCGCTGCACGCTCCACACGCCTCCCTTGTCAGTACTGGGAGTCCACCTCCTTCCAGCAATACATCTGCCTCTATTCCTCTTGGGACCTAGCAACCAGCAATAAGTTCCCAGGATTGATTTGGGAAATTGGCACACCAGCCAGTTGAAAGAATTTGCACACCAACCTGCTTTCAAGCACATCACATCGGGGCCTAACTACGCAGCCCCTGGTTTCAGCAGCAAACACCTCAAGGTTAGGGATGTCACAGTTAGATATAGAGTAAGGCTTTCTTTGCTTTCTCAGTCAGAAGTAATCTCAGATTCACCTACCTCAATGCATATCAGATTTTTATTTCTGGCTCTCAACTACCACCTTGCAGATATTTCTAATCAACATGTTCAGAAATGTTATTACACACCTATGGAGCAGTGGGTCATTAACCCAAGTCTCCTAGCTGTGACGGAGGGACATTATTACTGTGCCACAAGACCCCCACTAACTACCACTTTGCAACTTGCCTGAGTGAGATGGTCAGTTAATGCTAAATTAGAGACAGTTGCGATGTGGGCTTATGCCGTGCCACCTCGTCCAAATTCAGCACTGTTGTGTTATTAGGTTGGGCTGAAGTTGAGTTAACGTAGTCATAATAAGTAGCTACATTTTATTCTCTGCTCTTTTTTCAAAGGTGAATTTGGTGAAGTATGTAGTGGACGCTTGAAAATGCCAGGCAAGAGAGAGATCTGCGTTGCTATTAAGACCTTGAAAGCTGGCTATACTGATAAACAGAGACGAGATTTCCTGAGCGAAGCAAGCATCATGGGCCAGTTTGATCACCCAAATATCATCCACCTGGAGGGGGTAGTTACAAAATGTACGTCCAGTGATGGCACTGAGCATAAAAGTTACATGTATTCATCTGAAAATGACAGATGGAACATCTATTGATAAATAACAAGGGAGAAGACCCAGAATGCAAGTCATTAATCTTAATGGCAGATTTAAATGAGTTTATTGTGTAAATTGACATTCTATCCTTGGACAGCTTGTATTAAGATTTGAAGTGAAATTAATATCTAGGTCTTTGTGGGCTTGGATATTTTTGACACACTGACAAATTGGACTGTGTGTCATGTAGGATAGGTTAAAAACAGATGGCAAAAAATTTGATATTCGGTGGCTAAACATTTTTCTTATTGTAAATCATACCAAAGATTACCCAGCCAGGAGATGATGAGAAATTGGAAATATTTGTGCAGAAGTCGTCTATCCCTCAGTGACTGAAAAAAGCAGGAAAAAAAGCAAAAAGTAAACAACATTGCTTCGCCATAAATGAGTTGTATTAGAAAATGATTCACTTGCAGAGTAGTTGACAATATTAAAACAACACAGGCCTCTTAAGTTTACTATATGTAAAGCTGACTTATTGTGTCCTGTACCTCATTTCCAACAGGCAGTGCCCAATGGTAATGAGCCCAGTCTCTATCACCTCTTGGTTTTCTAATGACTGTCATTTAATAAAGCATTAATTTCAGCTGCTGCTGTTTGCTTTTTGATAGCTACGATAAGTGGCAATATATAGTAAATGAAAATGCAAATGAAGTGTCAAACATTGTTTTCAAACTTGATCCCAAGCTGTCGCTTCAGCAACTTTTGTTAGTGACTTGGATACCATCCTGGCCTTGTATTGCTAGGATTACATGCTAAGCTACGATATGCACTGGCTTAAAAAGAATTGTCTACTTATAGGCTAACTGTCCAAGTAAAATCAATAATTTCTTGATTTTTTTATGATGTTTATATTTGGGGTGAAGTATCTGCTGTACTACTGAGGTATAAAGACTGAAAAGTTTTAATGTTCAAGCCTTCACCTCTGTTACCTTAGCTGGGCTGGTAATGACGTATATTCCAGTGGGTCTTAGTATTCCTAAACTGGAGAAGGAGAGCTCATTCAGTAAGGATTCCTAGTTCCAGTTGCCATTCAATGATTTGTAGTGAATAAGGATTATGCTTGCCTATGGTACATGCCCTAGTCATGTAGCCTGCTGAAACACACAGGCTTCAACCACACATGAAGAATGGCTGCTTATTGAACAAAACCTCAAAACATCCAATTTCAAAAGAGAGACATTTGGAGTTGGAGTAGTGGAGGGAAAACATTTTATATAGTAGTGTATTAAAATAGAAATTATCTTCATTTAGCTATCAGGAACTACAAATTTTTGGACTTGAACGTAAGCAGTTTGGGTCACTAAATGAGCACATATCAAAATGGCATCTAAATGTTTACTGTATTTTCTTTCTTTAGTATTTGGGTTGGTTGGGTGTTATTTTCTCTTCTGATGTGGACAGTGCACTGACAGTAATAGATTGGCTGTCTGATGCTTTGCGCTCGATACCCCTTCCTATCCCGAACTTCCTATTTATCACCCACCACAGTGGATAACAGTGCTAGTAAATAGATGCACCTTCATCAGGGACTCGTGAATTCAATTTGGCAACATGTCATATTCTAAAGAGATGCAATTATAATCCCTTGAGATAGATAAAGTAATGGAGGGAAAACTGAGTTTCTTCAGGCAACTAAACCCTAGAGACATGTTCCAGATAACACAAGACCTTGTAAATATATGGCTAGCAAGGGTTAATCTAACAGATGGTGTCTAACATGTTGTTCAATAAATCATCGAGACTACAGTGCTTCTCGGGCACAATTTTTGGCATTTTTAATTAAATTAAATCCTTCAAGATGAATGATGGTACAGACAGTGTAATTCTCTATATCTCATTTTCATCTCATTAATGGAAGCATTTGTCAAGTAATTCTGTTTTTGTTTTGAAACTTTAGGTAAACCAGTAATGATCATAACTGAATACATGGAAAATGGATCTCTGGATGCATTCCTCAGGGTAAGTCATCCATCAGACTCTGAAGGAAGTGCATTTTTCAGAAACAGCCACTTTGCAAAATGTTGGATCTTAATTGGTAGTTTGCTGCATTGTATGTCAAAAGTGAATGTGATTTGTATTGTTTACAGAAGAATGATGGCCAGTTTACAGTGATTCAGCTGGTAGGAATGCTGCGAGGAATTGGTTCAGGAATGAAGTATCTCTCTGATATGAGCTACGTTCACCGAGATTTGGCTGCACGAAACATTCTAGTGAACAGTAATTTAGTCTGCAAAGTTTCAGACTTCGGCATGTCCCGCGTTCTTGAAGATGACCCAGAGGCAGCTTACACAACACGGGTAAGGCAGCTTACACTTCAAGATCACCAGTTTGAAACTAATGCCGAGAGCCAGTGTAAAGCAATCAGAATCCACAGGCAGAGCAGTAAACTCTTTACTCCTAATTGATAGCCAAATTCTAATCTACAGGGTGGTAAGATCCCAATCAGATGGACAGCACCTGAAGCAATTGCTTATCGCAAGTTTACCTCAGCAAGCGATGTCTGGAGTTATGGGATCGTCATGTGGGAAGTGATGTCATATGGAGAACGGCCATACTGGGACATGTCAAATCAGGACGTAAGTAAACTTCCTGTGATCCCATGTTCATTCAGGACCCAATAGTTCAGGAAGTTAAATATTTAAAGGGTTTGGCACTGATCATTTTCCTCCTCTGAAATGTACTCGTCTAAGATTTACGACCTCCCTTCATTAACTTCTATAGCACAGGAGACCATTTGTCCCATTTGACTTCAAATGTACAAATTCCATCCTCATGTTTCAGCCCTCCCTGGCATCATCTGATCTCTGTAACTACCTGTAACTCTACTACCATCCAGAAACTTTGTGTTCCTCCAACTCTCTGGTCTGCTGTGCTTCTCCGAGTTCTTTCAATGATCTGAGTTCATCACTGGAATTACAAATCTAAAATATCCCTGCTTCTCCATCTCCTTTTAATGCTCAGCTTTGAAGCCAAACCTTTTGGCCGAGCTTTTATTCATCTCCCCAGATATTTCCTTCCTTGATTTCTATCCATCTTTGTCTGGTTACATTATGGGAAATTCTACTACATTGTATGAATACAAGTCATTGTGGTGGGTCTTAGACTCAATCACTGCCCTATTCCTTATGATAAAAGTACATGCCACTGTACATCAGAAAACAGGCTCAGAATTGACTCTAACACCTGAATTTCTTTCATGTTGGAATACTATGTTGGCGCTCCTGGTTTATGTTTCCATGTACTTGGGTGAAATACCATTATTGTTCTGTTCTTTTAGTGCTCATGCCAACATAGTATGTGTTGCTGACTTAGAGAAAGTAGGGATATAAGGAAAATCAAGAACAAGTATTTTATTGGAATTGGTAACATAACATTTGATAAATTGTTTTCATATGAAATTGGATTGAGTTAAAATCCAAGAAAAAGTCTAATGTGGGAAAGATGGATCTAAATTACAGGTGATTAAAGCAATTGAGGAAGGTTATCGATTACCTCCACCTATGGACTGCCCGGTCTCCCTCCACCAGTTAATGCTGGACTGCTGGCAGAAAGAACGCAATGACAGACCCAAATTTGTGCAAATTGTAAATATACTGGACAAACTGATTCGAAACCCAAGCAACTTGAAAAGAACAGCAGTGAGTGAAGTTACAAGGTGAGTATTTAAAATTCTATGATAGTTTAACATGTTATAGCCATATCTGATATAAGGACATCATAAATTCATCTCTCCAAATCATTATTGTTTCACATAACTGTGTACATTGAGATTACCACTATTTTAAGGTTAAACATATTTTTAGTGAGTCCGTACATTTTCATGCCTACAGCCACTAAGTATTGAGCTCAATAATCCACCACACCCTTAAACCCCTCAGTTCTTCAGGTAGCCTTAATTTACAAAATGTTACAACATTGATAACTTTCTTTATCCAGAGTTAATGCATGAACAAAAGATTGAGCATGTAATTACTCCAGGAACTGTTGTCTTGCATTTATATTTCCATGGGTATTACCACTTCAATTACCACATGTCTCCAGTGAATGGTTAGTATAATTATCAATTTTGATATTAATGGATGTCCTTACAGTACATGAATTCACAGAGAGAAATGTCAGTAGGCAGACTGTTCTTGCAAATACTGTTACATTGCAGTTACATATCATTACTGGCTCACTGAGGCTATTTACTGACCTTTATGTGATTTGAACAGGTAGCAACCATCGTGGGGCTAGCAGCTGACACATGTTTCTTCAAACTGATTTAATGGTGACAGGGCAAAGGCCCATTATGCAGCCACGTGATGCGAGTTAATTATTCAGAAAGAATGAAGTTATCTAGTCAAAGGCTTAAACATGTAAGCCTGCCCTCAATCCCAACTCAACAGTACGGGAAATAAATATTTAATTTTACAATACATTATTAAACTGAATCAGATCAACTTTCAGCCAAGAATTACTGCACTTCTGCTCCCAGACACTAAAGATGACAGAATAGCAACAAATGTAAAGGTACATTTAAGTATAACTACAGTTAGGAATACATGTATAGGTAGGTGTATGTGATGATGATGGATAGAATAATTATTTTAATCAGCTTGTTACATGCAGAAGTTATAATTATCTTCAGTAAAATCATAGATTATCAATGAATCACAAATATAAATAAACTATTTAATTAGAATAAATAGAGATGTCCAGCATAGAAACAGACCCTTCGGTCCAACTCATCCATGCTGACCAGATATCCTAGGTAAATCTAGTCCCATTTGCCAGCATTTGGCCCATATCCCTCTGAACCTTTCCTATTCATATACCCATCCGGATACCTTTTAAATGGTATAATTGTACCAGCCTTCACCACTTCCTCTGGCAGCTCCTTCCATACATGCACCACCCTCTGCATGAAAAAAGTGCCCCATAGGCCCCTTTTAAACCTTTCCCCTTTCACCTTAAACCTATGCCCTCTAGTTTTTGACAACCCCACCCCAGGGAAAAGTCCTTGTCTGTTTACCCTATCCATGCCATTCATGATTTTATAAACCTCTATAAGGTCATCCCCCTCAGCCTTCGACGCTTGAGAAGAAATAGCCCCAGCCTATTCCCCATAGCTGAAACCCTCCAACCCTGGCAACATCCTTGGAAATCTTTTTTGAACCCTTTCATGTTTCACAATATCCTTCCTATAGCAGGGTGACCAGAATCTCACACAGTATTCCAAAAGCGGCCTACCCAATGTCCTGTACAGCTGCAACATGACCGCACAGCTCATGTACTGAATGCACTAGCCAGTAAAGGCAAGCACACCAAATGCCCTTTTCACTATCTGATCTAGATGCAACTGCACTTTCAAGGAACTATGGACCTGCACTCCAAGGTCTCTTTGTTCAGCAAACCTCCCCAGGACCTTACCATTAAGGGTATAAGTCTTGCCCTGATTTGCCTTTCCAAAATGCAGCATCTCACATTTATCTAAATTAAACTCCATCTGCCACTCTTCAGCCCATTGGCCCACCTAATCAAGGTCCCATTGTACTCCGAGGTAACCTTCTTCACTGTCCACTATACCTCCAATTTTGGTGTCATCAGCAAACTTACTAATCATACCTCCTGCATTCACATCCAAAGCATTTATATAGATGACGAAAAGTAGTGGACCTAGCACTGATCCTTGTGGCACACCACATGTCACAGGCCTCCAGTCTAAAAAGCAACACTCCACCATCACCCTCTGTCTTCTACCTTTGAGCCAGTTCTGTATCCAAATGGCTAGTTCTCCCTGTATTCCACGTGATCTAACCTTGTTAACCAGTCTACCATGAGGAACCTTGTCAGACGCCTTACTGAAGTCCATATAGATCACGTCCACTGCTCTGCCCTCATCAATCCGCTTTGTTACTTGTTCAAAAAACTCCAAGTTAGTGAGAAATGATTTCCACGCACAAAGCCATGTTGACTATCCCTAATCAGTCCTTGCCTTTCCAAATACATGTAAATCCTGTCCCTCAGGATTCCCTCCAACATCCTGCCCACCACCGATGTCAGGCTAACAGGTCTATAGTTCCCTGGCTTCTCCTTACCATCTTTCTTAAATAGTGGCACCACGTTAGCCAAACCTCCGGTCTTGCAGCACCTCACCTGTGGCTATCAATGATACGAATACTTCAGTAAGGGGCCCAGCAACCCTTCCCTAGCTTCCCACAGAGTTTTAGGCTACACCTGATCAGGTCCCGGGGATTTATCCACCTTTGTGTTTTAAGACATCCAGTGCCACCTCCTCTGTAATATGGACGTTTTTCAAGACGTCACTATCTATTTCCCTATGTTCTCCATCTTCCATTTCCCTCTCCACAGTAAACACTGATGCAAGATACTCGTTTATTGTCTCCTCCGTCTCCTGCGGTTCCACACACAGGGTGGCCCTGCTGATCTTTAAGGGGCCATATTCTCTTCCTAGTTACCCTTTTCTCCTTAATGTATTTATAAAATCCCTTTGGATTCTCCTTAATCCTATTAGCCAAGTCTCTCATAGTCCTTTTTGTCCTCCTGATCTCCCTCTTAAGTATACTCATACTGCCTTTGTACTCTAAGAATTCACTCGATCTCTGCTGTCTATACCTGACATATGTTTCCTTCTTTTTCTTGAACAAAACCTCAATTTCTCTAGTAATCCAGCATTCCCTACACCTACCAGCCTTGCCCTTTACCTGAACAGGAACACACCGTCCCTGGACTCTTGTTATCTCCTTTTTGAAGGCTTCACATTATCCAGCTGTCCCTTTACCTGCAAACGTCTGTGATCAATCAACATTTGAAATTTCTTTGTCTAATACTGACAAAATTGGCCTTCCTCCAATTAAGAACTTTAACTTTTTGATCTGGTCTATCCTTTTCTATCACTAATTTAAAACTAATAGAATCATGGTCGCTGGCCCCAAAGTTGTCCCCCACTGACACCTCAGTCAACTGCCCTGCCTCATTTCCCAATAATAGGTCAAGTTTTACACCACCTCTAGCAGGTACATCCACATACTGAATCAGAAAAAATTCTTGTACACACTTAACAAATGCCTCTCCATCCAAGCTCTTAAAACTATGGCAATCCCAGTCTATGTTTGGAAAGTTAAAATCGCCTACCGTAACCACCCTATTATTCTTACAGATAACCGAAATGTCCTTACAAATTTGTTTCTCAATTTTCCGCTGACTGTGGGGTGGTCTCTCGTACAATCCCAATAAGGTGATCACCCTTTCTTTCTTCTCAGTTTTGCAAACTAATGCGTAAAGAAACATAGAAGTTGGCATGCGGATACAGCAGGTAATTAGGAAGACAAATATCATGTTAGCCTTTATTGTAAGGAGATTGGAGTTCAAAAAGAAAGGAATTCTTCCTTCAATTGTACAGGGTTTTCTGAGGCCACAGCTAGTAGACTATGTCCACGTTTGGTCTCTGTTACGAAAGAATATATATTTGCTTTGGAGGTGGTACCATAAAAGTTCAGTATATTAGTTCCTAATGATTAGAAGGATGAGAGCATTTTCCCCATGGTGAGAAGTTGATTAAATTTCATATATATTCTTGAGTTTAGACCAATGAGAAGTAATGCCATTGATTTGTGTAAGGTTTTGTGGGAGGCTTGACCTTACAGACACTAAGAGATGATTGTTTATTCTGGGGAATATAAACATGGGGACATAGTGTCAAAACAAAGGATCAATATTCAGGACTGAGATGTGGAGAAATTTCTTAACTCAAGAATCTTTGGAGTTCTTTTTCTCCTAGATATGCCATAATTGAACTTATTTAAAGTTGAGATGGACTGACTCATTGATCTGTCAGGGAACTGGGGAGAGAGCAGGCAAGTGGAACTAAGGCAGAAGATCACCAGTGATTGTATTGAATGACACAGCAGACATAAAAGTTGTATGCTGTTAGAAAAGAGTCGCTTTTTTAAAAAAAGCCATAAAATTTAATTTTGTCAGAGACACAAAAACAGATGATAGCCACTGGATGACCCATCATATATTGAATCTGATTTCGCTAAGTTTGATAGAAAGGCAAATGGAGTCAGAATTATATTTGGTGCTGGCATCCATTTTGCATAGTCACGGACTTTGAATCGTACTATAGTTGTGTATTCTGACCCGATTCGATGTCACCAAGTAATTAGTAGCAGGTGTCTATTAACATTAAGCATAGAAAATGGACTGTTGTGAAATCATAAAACAAAATCTGCTATTTGCTTTAGTATTTAATTCATTGCATACTTCTTGATGAAATTGTGAACAATGACACAGGAGCAAGTGTGCAGAACAAATCACAGAACATGACCAGGAAAATAACCAGGATGAGAACACTGGAGCTAATTTACAAAAAAGATGACTGAGAAAAGACCAGCAAGTACACGCAACACAAACATGATGCCTTAAGCATCACAATTCACAATGTTCCAATCCACCAACAGCCATGCAATCTCCAAGGAATCAGAAAAAGACAATTCTGTTTTAAATATCACAGCATGTTTATAGAGGAGTGGGAGAAATGGAATTGTCTGTCTAACCCCATGAAGTGATCACCTGCTGGAGACCGTTGGTAGGATTCTCCCTGTCACCAGGCTAAGGTGCAGATGAAAACGTGCACTGTGTGGGTAACAATCATTCAATGTAATTTTGTTCCCCCGTGGCAGCCAGTTAATAGCCAGAGGGTAGCTTGTCAATGTTGTGTTTAATCCGAGGCCTTCCCCAGCAGGCTGCAGTGGAAGGTAAACCAGTAAGACAATACTTCGCAAATTGAGACACCATGCACCCACTTTCAAGTTTTCAAATTCAAACTAAAAGGTGTTTTTCACAGCATGTGTATGTGGAAGGTGGCAGTGTTGCTGGTGATGGGGTGAGTCTGGGGAGCACTTCAAAAGGTGAATTGTAGTTACTATACTATCAATCAGGCATTTAGTCCTGCTTCAAGTAACTCTGTCTTGGCCTGCCAGTAGGAGACCATCTGTAATTAGTTACATTGGTGACCACCACCTCAAGGGACACACAGGCTGACTCAGAAATCCTAGTTTTAATTGCTCATTAACAAGCTGTGCATGCAGGTAGCACTGCCACCATCCCACTTCTGTGCTAATGGCCTGATAGTGGAATAAAGCTTGGGAACTGGCATCGAAACAGGCTGAACTGTGTTCAATTCCCACCATCCTCTTGTCCCAGTCCCAGGGGTAATGGGGGAACTAAAAATCGAGTCCAGCTCATTGATGGCATTCATTTAGTATTCTGCCTGAAATTGGTACAGCTCTTTGTGAAGGTGTGCAGCAAATCAGTATTTGCTGTGAGAATCACCAAATTTTTCGACAGGTTTACTACTACAGCATATTTACTATATTCTACAGCTGTTTAACATTTATGTCCACTATGCTAATAATGATAGATAAATGCTGTGTGACAATATGATTGATAATTTTTTAAAAAATATACAGGCCCTCTACTGCATTATTAGAGCCAGGCACACCTGATTTCTCAGCTTTGGGATCTGTTGGGGATTGGCTTGAAGCTATCAAGATGGACAGATACAAAGATAACTTTACAGCAGCAGGATACACCTCCCTAGAGGCAGTGGTACACATGAACCAAGAGTAAGTACCAAGAAGTTGTGTACAGATCTGAACTAATTACAGGTGCATTTTGCAGAGATTTAATCAATTTTAAATGCTACAACCTAAGCACCGGAATATGGGTTTTATCTAAAGCTTAAGCTACTTGCATTGCACCTGTGAATATCCACATATTTTTCCAAATTAAGAGTACTCACTTAACCGTCTCCAAATGTAGCAGACACAAAAGTAATAATTTATTAACTGATTTGTGTAGCAAGATGATTTTTTTTTTTGTGCACACTACACAGTCCCACAATCAGCAATGTACTCAACTCCCAATTAATCTGTTTTTGGTGAGGACTATATCTTAACACAAGACCCACTATTCTTACTCTTCTCATTTAGTTACTGCCATGGGTGTTCTTAATCCATGTTAAGGGTAGACATGACCTTAGTTTAATCTGGCTCCTGAAAGACTGTACTTCTAGCAGTGCTCCACAGTCAGTATTGCATTGAAGTGTCCACTGAAATGGTGCTTAAGCATGCAGGGAGAAGGACTGAGCCCTCCGCTCAAAGTTTCACTTAAAACACAGTAACCTGATCTCCAATGGACTGCAACCATGTTCCGTTTACCTAGTGCAAGTTATTTTCATATCCCTCCTTCTCCAGAATCAATGAGTAGCCTGACAATCTGAAGGCATCTCTTATATTACTGAGATGAAGTGAGGGAAATAATTCAGTTACCTCAGGCACTGAGTAAATGCAACATTTCATCCTATTAAGCCGGATTCGGTAGAAAATACAGTACCTTGGAGTTAAAGAATGCTGTGAGATTACATTTAATCGCAAGTTTCTCAAAATTCCCACCAATGTCTACCAGCTTAAAACTCCTCCAGGCATCATCAATGAAGCTCTAAATAAAATATGATGGAACCCTGGACCCAATTTTGCTTGGATAGAATTGGGGTAGGCAGTTTCTGTTTTGTGAACGGTAAATGTGCGTATTATGTAGTTAGTGTTCTGACCGTTATCTTCCTTTTTTATTTGTTACCATAGTGACCTGGCTCGAATTGGAATCACAACAGTAGCACATAAGAGCAAGATCCTGAGCAGTGTCCAGGGAATGAGGGCCCAGATGCAACAAATGCAGGGAAGAATGGTTCCCGTCTGAGCCAGTGCAAAAACTCAATGAAATTATTTTTACCTCATCCATGCACTTTAACAGAAATAAACTGCACTTTTTACTTCATTGTTGTCCTTTGATAGAAGGATATTTTGTCAGCAGTTTGCCTGATTTGAGGACAGTGCTGAACTTTATGACCACTGTATGGCAAATACAGAGATCTTTGTCTAAGTAAGAGGAACCTGGATTACATATGTATCTGTTTTCAAATTCCTGCATTTCTTGGATGAACTCATGAAGGAGCAGTCTAATAATTTCATAATTACCGTCAGATTTCTAGTTTGCTTTCATAATCACTGGATTGAAGGTTACCTTTTATTTGGTGGGCTTCCTAATGAGTGACTTATGTAAAATGATTTGAAGCTCTCCAAGGTATTCTCATAGACGCGGTTTTGATTTAAATAATGAAAGATGAAGTTCTTCTAATGGCTACACCCTATGAAGGTTTCTGTAAACTGCCACTATGTTCTTCCAGTTATTCGCTGAAATGAGCAAGCAGCCTTGTGGATTACCATTTAAGACTGTAATGACTTTAATGTAACTTATAGTAGTTCCCTGTACAAACATCACGGAGGTTCCTTCCGCCAGGAAATGTCTAGGTAGATTTATGGAACGGAAGATTCTCAAACTTTGGCGAAGGAACTACCAACTTTTCAGTCCCTTTGGACGCTGAAGGGAAATTGCTGCAAACAACTACAAAAGACGACAAGGTAAAATCAAACTTAGTCAAACTCTAACTAATTCACAAGGATTATCATTTGATATTAGCGTTATGTGGTTGGTTGCTTTGAATAACGTTACAACATAGATTCCCTTCAGTGCTGTTGAATCAGTTTTCTCTCCTTCCTTTTCTAATAAAAATTCTGATTCACACTTAATATGGTTTCAGAGGTTCCCAGCAGCCTTGGTATAGCACCGCCAAATGGCATTAAATATTGGCAACCTAGTTAACCAAGAGGGAGTGGCATGAGATGTCGTAAAATGTCCATTGAGCTGCGTACAAACAGCAACAGGAAATTGTGGCAGGAAGAAAGATTTAAGTCTATTGAAGCATTTTCCTGGAACCAGTTCTGCCAGATTCGTGTTCAAGGGTTGGTGCATTGCTGTAGCGTATTTGTGGCAATTTTAAATTCTATGATGATCTTTAGAAACAAAGCCTTCTTTTTCATATTGTTAAATCATAGAGCTGCATTCAAACAGATGTATGCTCTCCACATTTCTTTTGTCAGGTGAACAACCATAACTAAATTCTGTATGATTAATTTGATGGCATGTCACTTGAGTAGTCAGTGTATTGTATTTTTGCAAATTAAAGGTGCCAAAATCTAGTTTGATTTCTTAAGCAATAACAGCATCAATTCCCAGTTACAGAAGCAAATGCAGGAAGTTCTCACTTCAAGTTGTGGTTGAATCCCTGAAATTTGCAACTTGAAGTTAAACGAAAAAGTGAAACATTGGCTCCTGCAGGAGCCAATGTTAAAACTGGTGTTGCACTCAATAGGGCCTTCCTTACCAGAGAAAAGAATTCAAGCATCAAACTGCACACTCCAGTATGAAATACAATATTGTAATTAGCTTAATTCCTGTTTTTGGGAATGAAATAACTTAAAATCAATTTAAAATAAAGAGGAAAAATATAACGTTGTACTGACAGAACCTCCTGTATTGACCTCTCCAATAGTAGAGCCAGGAGGCCTTGTTCATCGGGTTTCTGGTCGCCTGCAGGAGTCATCACTAGTTGCTGGCTCTCTCATGGCTACTGCCTGGTGGCATCTACTGCAGGGTGTGATGAGGGGTTTGTTTTGCCTGTAACACTCCTGCTTGTTGGTTGCTGCCCCTCTATGTCCACTTGGCCCACCATTTGAGGGTGCAACTTGTCTTGGCCTTGTCCTTTATCTCCCCCCCTCCTTGCTGTTGGGCTTTGGGTCATGACTGAGCTTGGTTGCTTTTCCTCTCTTTCTTACACTCCCCACCACTCCCCATTTCTTTCTCTGCCTCTGGGGTGATGGTTGGGGCCTAGGGTTCCTGTGGCAGAGGTTTTGCCCAGACTTCGGCGAGGGGGAGGGGTTTTGGGCACACGGGCTGAAGGCTGCTTTGGTTCGATCACTTTTGGCAGCTCCCCTGTGTTGCTCCCACAGCTGGAGAGGCAAGAGTCCAGGGATCAACTGGCTAGGAATGGCAGCTGAAATAATTATCAATTCCCTTTTGTTTCCATTTTGGAGTATTTATATTTTTGCCTAATATTATAAAGGCATTGTTTTCTTTTCCTTCACTGAAAATATTGGCGAGAGAGAGATAATTTCTATATGGAGAAAGTGAGGTCACCTTCTCAAAAAACCTCAGATGAAGCAAGATATATCCATGAAAATACTTTGTTCCCTTCTACAAAAGGCATCGATTCTTTTACTGTAGTATGGATCATTGCTACCTGGCACCAAAGGATCATGCTTCATATGTAAGCAACAGCAGGTTACTTATTTAGCAGGGTGATTGGATAACCGGATAGTGATCAAGGGCATTTTTGTTTTAAAATGCTCCATACCTGAAGTAATCAGAGATGGATTGCCACCAGGGCTGAGATGAACAAAGCACAGATCCCACTACCTCAGCTTTTGTATGGCTCTGCTGTCTTTACCAGCTGAGCCACTAATAGAACCAACTAGTTATCTTTTAAGAAAAGTAGCATTGGAGCTGATTTGGCTGCTTTCAGTGAAGAAATATCTTGGATTTCAGTTAGAAGCAAGAAACTTATAAAATTGAACATGCCTCAGTTCAGAGGAAATGGAGCTGGACATGTTTCTCACAAATGCATGACCTATCTGAACGATAGCAAAACCTGGTCAAACCAAATACATTATTTGGTTAATTGCTTTCAAGATAACATGCAGAACTGAGATTTTCAAAATTTGGAGATCCTTATAGGGTGCAAAGGAAGAAATCAATTCTGTGTAAAATATTCCTCTTTCCACTCTCTCTCTCTCTCTCCATTATTCTTTCAACTTCAAGTTGTAGAAACTTTGAACCAGATAAGTTTCTCAGACTGGGCTTGATGTTACTGAACCTCAGCACGTTATTGCATCTGATCTGAATACATTTACATCATCTCCAATCAATGAGGTGATCTACTTCCTGCTCTGATACAGTATCTGCCTAAATGCCACTTCTCAGGCACTTTAGAGACTGAAACCAGAATGTTGTTTCTTCATAGCTGGATATTAGTTTTAAAATATAATAATCCACAATTGTTTTTGTTGCCATTACAGAGACTGAAACAAAAATCATGTGACCTGTGTGCATTGTGATTAACATTAGTGAGTTTGATTGATGACAACCTGGGGAATTATATGTAGATGATAAAATTGTTTCTAACAAACAGTATTCTGCAAATACAGAATGGTACGGAAGAAAGTTAATACTAAGCTAAATAAAGTTGATTTAATCTTTATAAATGACATGTAACCATCATTGTTACATTCTGCAACAATTAAATCAATTATCCATTGCTTTACTTTAGAACTGACTGAACTGCCTAATCAACCTCAGCATGCAGCCTCTGGGAACTCAGAACAACAATGAACATGAAAAATCCCACAGGATCAAATCCCACTAAAATCAGATCCAAGGAAGGAACCTCAGTTCTAAAAACACAGGCTTTGGACAAGCCCAAATTCAAAGCAAAAAAAAACTCCTGCTTTAAGTATATAAAGTTCAGCATCTGTTCTGGAAAATCTCTAGAGGAATGTACTGTGTAAGATAACTAACCTTTGTGGACTTCTGCATGTCACTGCTGCGCCTAGTGTGACGACCTGTTCAAAATACTATTCGGTATTAATAATGTATGGAATCTGTTATATAGAAACGGATCCCTGGACCTGTCACTGAGCTGTGTGTGTGTGTGTGTGTGTGTGTATTTTATTGAAGTAGCATTTCCAAATGTGCCATTGGAACTAACCGTTGTTTTCTACGCATTTGATAATGTCAGGAAATTCTCAGTCACGTTCAACAGTCTTGGTCATTTTCTTTTCAGACCATTTTTCCTAGATACTTAAGATGCACAGTTTTGTTATAAAATGTGACAGTAAGTCATCAATCTTTCAAAGTTTTCATGACCTGTAACTGATATTTTCATTTGCATTTCACATCCTTCTGTCCTGAGCAATGTTCTTCTTAAATGCTAATTTTAAACAAATGACATAGATCTATTTTTTGTATTCCTGCTTGGACCTGATTGGGTATATGCAAGACTGTGGTCTTCTGAATAAAAGTGTACAGCGTATTTTAATTTAGTTCAAACTGGAATTCTTCTAACAGTCCAATTTCCTTTTTTTCCTTTGTATCCTTTTTATCAATGATTTAGGCATAGATTATTTTTTTTATTTGAATTTTAGGTACATGTAACTTATGTCATTTATTTATGGTCTTGAGAATCTTTTTGTACCTAGTTTGTACATTGCAAGATAAATAGTTACAAAATGTGCACAGAAAGTGCATTCCAAATAAAGTAGTTACAGCACAACTCTTGGCTCAAGGGTGATTAATACATGGATTGGCAGAGTTGGTTTCTGTGCTCTGATCTGGCAGAACAAGTTTCAATTCTCTTCTCTGATGGTTCTGGAGGGAAGATAGGACTTGGGGAATTGGTGGTTTAAGATGAGAAACGAAGACAAGAACAGGAATAACTTACTGTAATTGTTTATTTGCAGTTCCTTATGGCCTGTACAAATAATTGGCTAAAGTTTAGGAACAGGTCATCGAAGGGGAATAGATAAGATGTCCAGAGAAAACCCTTTACGTTTGCAATAGGATTCACCTCTGATTTCAAGAGCAATTTAGGAGGGAGAAGTTAAGAAACATTTCCTCATACTAAGGATATAAAACTCTATTACAAAACGTTGCTAACACATTGAATAATTTCAAATCCAAAGTAGATTTTTGCTAGTTAAGACCGTTACTAGAAAACACGGCAGGAGTTGGATCACAGATCAGACATAATCTCACTGAATAACAGAGTAGATGAGAGGAGCAGACTGAATGGCTTGCTTCTGTACTGGATCATTCTCTTATCAGTGAGCTTCGAAGAGCGCAGATATACAAAGAAACAATTAAGGTCTACTGCACGGAAGATAGCCATTCAGCCTATCGTAGCTTCCTTTTTCTTCAGAAAAGTAATCCAAAACACATCCCATAGGTGTGTAGCCTGGCTCAGCGTCAAACCTTAATCAATGTTTGTTTAAAAGATACAGTGACCTCTGTATCAACCACTTGCTGTGGCAAAGCATGACATATTCTTTTGGCTTTCTGTGTCAATAATATTTTTTTAACGCCTTTCTTCACTCACTGTGGCAATTTTAAATTGGTTACCTGTTATCACCAGCTTCCTGATCAGATCATTTATTAAATCACTTTTGCTTTCTTTGCTCCAGGTGTAGTCTCATACCATCTCAAATTTGCATATGCTTTCTCACTTAACAACTAATAATATTATAACTATGACCTAACAGTGCCTTGCACAGATTTATCATTAAGTGTAAGAGAAAAGTGTAAGTCAAGTCTCCAGAAAAACCGGAAGACTAATGTATTGTTTTATGGCTTTAACTGCATTTGGATTTTCAACAATTCAGTTTTGCTTGTTTGAGTTAGTTAATTCAGCACAGTCTGGGCTGAATCAGTCAAATAAAAGCAAAAGATCAGAGAATTTTAATTGTAAATTAGTTGCATCCAAAATAATTTCCATCATGTTTTGAAATTTTTAACTCTATACTGGTTCAAGATTTAATCTACTCAAATAAATCCTGCACCCACAAAACTGGCAATTGATATCTAAAATCTTTTGAAGTGTAATCCACAGAGACTCATGATTTTCTAACTTAAATATGTCAGACCAATAACATAAATGAGGAGTTTTTAAAAAAGTACTTGAAAGTTCCCAATTTACTTGTTGGATAGACTCAGGTTAACATAAAACATTTACTGCATTTCTGTATTCAACGAGAACTACCATTTATTACAAATAAATAGAACCTCACTACAGGTAAACAACTATCAATTGTTGGCATTTTAACTCCAACCACTAAAAACTTTTACCCGCTCTTCTAAAACACCCCCACAGACAGACAACAAAACATTGGTGGTGGTGTCGGGGGGAAATGTACTGGTGAAGCAGCCCACGGTTCACTGAGAGGATCATTTTGCTTGCCAGAATTTTCTATACTTCAATCTCTCTTTTCTACATTCTGTTGACTTCTCAGGAGACACAGGCAATTGATACACTGTCTACAAGTCTCTTAAAGGCCACAGCTTACAGCAACTGCTGAGGGAAAAATAAACTGGCCTTCTTGAGGCTTTAGGGATTTTATTGAAGAGAAAGACATACCAAATCTGCCCTTGCAGCAGTCTGAAGGCTTCTGCTGATAACATTCACAGCCACAAGCTGTTCAGCTGTCCAGGAGTCAATCAGATAATTGCTATCAGGATAATGGACAATGCCATCACAAGCCCACAAACCAATCAGCAGCCTGTATTTGCTGAATCTCACTTTGTACACACCACCTATTGCTGGCTGTTTTACAAACAGTTTCCCCCACCGTGTTTACAGTGTAAACATGACTTACAATGAGTTTCAGACACATGCTTTTTAAAAGAGCAGCAATTCCTTCCACCTCCTTGGTTTTACAGCAGTCCTTTATCCATTTCAGCCCACAAGCAAAAATAAATCTTTACAATACACATAGCAGAAATCTGTGACCCTCATTAGGTGTTCTTGTTAGGTATATTTGTTGTATGTAAATTGGTTCCTTGTTTTCCTATATTATAATAATGGGCTGAATTCTACCATACTTTGGCAACATGTTGAGTTTCATGGAGGGTTGCGCTGAATGAGACCTAGCATGTTTATTGTGCTATCATCCCAAACCAGCCTTGATAAATGCTAACGTATCCCCATGGTGCCCCTTGTCGACTGCTAGCTTGATTCACCCACTCACCATATCAAAAAGTACTCACCATTGCCTAGATATCCCAGACTTTACCGGTATCCATAGATAGGTTTTTGATTAGTAGGGAGATTAAGGGTTACAGGAAGAAGGCAGGAGTTGAGAAACATATCAGCCATGATTAAATTACAGAGTAGACTCGATGGGCTGAATGGTATAATTCTGTTCCTATATCTTATGCCTTATAGACAAAAGGGAACCGGTAGCTGTAATATATTTGGGTTTCAAAAAGGCATTTAATAAGGTACTGCACATAAGGCTGCTTCATGATAGCCCATGATATTAGGACTACTATAGTAGCTTGAATAGAGGATTGGCTAACTAGCAGAAGACAGTGTTTGGATAAGGGGAGCATTTTCAGAATTGCAATCAGTGAAGGCCACAGGGTCCAGTGCTGGGGCCACAATTATATAAATGAATTGGATGATGGAAGTAAATGTACTATAGCTAAGTTTGTGGATGACACAAAAATAGGTAGGAAGGCAAGTAGGCTGGATGACAAAAAGTCTACAAGAGGGTTCTAGGCAGGTTAAGAAAGTAGGCAAAAGCTTGGTAGATAGAAAATAATGTGGGAAAATGTGAAGATATGTACTTTTGCAGAAGAGTAGAATTTTTAAAAAGGGCTGAATATTATTCAAATGGGGAAAGACAGTAGAAAGCTGCATCACAGAGAGTCTTGAGGATCCTAGTCTATGAATCACAAAAAGCTAATGGATAATAAGAAAGGCAAATAGAATGTTACTCGTTCAAGGGAATGGAGTTTAAAAGTAAGGAGGTTTTGCTAAAACTGTACAAGGCATTAATCTGACCACACCTAGAATACTGTGAATAGTTTCGGGTCGCTAATCTAAGGAAATAAATACTGGCATTGGAGCCAGTTCAGAGAAGGTTCACTATGTTGATCCCAGGTGTGGAGCAATTATCTTAAGAAGAGGGGCTGCGTTGCAGTCTGGAGTTTAGAAGAATAAGACCATGTCCTATTGAAATATAAAAGATTATGAAGGAGCTTGTCAAGATAGATGAAGAAAGCTTGTTTTCCTTGTGGAATAGTTTACATCCAGAGGGCATAATCTCAGAATAACAGGTTGTCTATTTAAGACAGAGATGAGTAAAAATCTTTTCTCCCAGAGAGTGGGAAATCTGGAAATTTTCAACAGTGTTGTTAAGGCTGGATTGTTAAGTACATTCAAGGCGAAAATAGACAGGTCATTAAGGGACTCAAGGGATCTGAGAAAACACAGGAAAGTGGAATTGAAAACTATCAGATTAGCTATGGTCCCATTGAATGGCAGAACAGACTTGATGGGCCCAGTGACTTACTTGTGCTCTTACATCTTACGGTCTCAGTGGCATGTTTGAGGACTACTCCCCATAGACATCAAGACATGGCCATTTCCTTGCAGTAGAATATTTGCCACACATTGGCTAGCACATAGTTCAGATGTGAGATGGACATAACACTATACCATTTGCTGTGCAACATGTCCAACTCTTTAACTGACTATTACTGATAAGCATGACAAGTTGCCTAGCTTTGATTTTGCACTAAACTGCAAGGCGAGACAGAAACACAATGAGTCTTTAAAGTGCAGCTGAGGGGACAAAACACTAAAAGACATAGTAAGGCAAGGGTGCTGTGAGTGCTAAGAGAACAAGCCGTGAGATGCATCCTGTTCTAAACCATGAACTGGGTGTTTGTACCTGCATGTAAGTGTTATTTCAACAGCATTCCAATGATAGTTATCGGAGCCTCCGTAAGAGCAATATGGCAGTGCAGGAGCATACTCTAACTGGTTTGGAGATGTGTCGTGATGATGCAGAGGGACTAGTACATGTCAGATGCCAGGATATGGGATCCATGTAGCTACTGCCCATGGAATGCCGGATGTCCAATCTAGAGGATGAGAAGTGCAAGTGAGGAGCTGGAATTGCTAGGGTCTCGGTTTCATGTCGGGAATTATTGCTGTCTGGTCTCTATCCAGTGGGTGGTAGAAGAGGAGTGTGCATATTGATGAGGTAAGATTATATCATAAAGAGGGTGATAACGTGTAATAATTCCCGTTAACAGGCCCCTCACCACTCACTGGTGAGAATATAATCCCAACTCCGGAACTTAATTGGAAAACGGGACTTGTTGCTCCCAAGGTCAAGGAAGGCCTCACTCAACTTCTCACATGATTCTCCAAGATATCTTGCCATGGCCCAGGTTGTTTGGGGCCTGAGCCCTATATTTCAAAAATATTTCGTTGGCCGTGCAGCACTTTGAATTGTCCTGAAGTCCCAAAAAGAAATTTTTAAAGGAATGTTTTACATTTTATTTTATTTGCAGGGAACTTATCAAACCCATATGAAACAAAATCAATCAAGAAAAGCTTTGGAAGGGTAACTTTGGCTTTTTAAATTACTGGGTATAGTATGCATTCCTGTTTTTTACCCCACTCAATCAATGGAAAAAAATAGTCAGGTATGGTATGGCTTCAAACAGGAAGCTAATTTGCTGTAGCCTGTTGGCATGAAATAATAG